ACATATTAGTTCTACTTAAAGTTAGCTCTAACATGAATTAGAACTAAGTTAGAACTAACATAAAATAAGTTAGAACTAATATAAAATAAGGTTTACCGCTAGACCAAATAGCCTAAAGTATTTATATTAGTTCTACTTAAAATTAGCTCTAACACGAATTAGAACTAAATTAGAACTAACATAAAATAAGTTAGAACTAACATTAAATAACTTAGAACTAACATTAAATAACTTAGAACTAACATGAGTTATTGCTCATGATAGAGTTCAAAAAAGGGCGGGAAATTTTCCTCTATTTTTTCCATCAGATCGCATTAATGGGCGTGACTTTCCATGTATTTTGTGGACCAGACGTCTAGGGAAGATAAGTGGAGGGGTAATTTCGGGTTTTTTTTAAATACAATCTTTTTTTTATACTGCTGACGTGGAGGGGCCTTGAAATATTAAATGGTACTTTTTGGGGCTGAATCACATGAGCCAAAATACAAGGGGGCGGATCACATGAACTTTCTCATTTTGGGGCCTGGACACATTTTTCCCTAGAAAAAAACAATTTCACACGGGGGCAGTAATAATTTAGGTAAAGAGTCAAAAAAATTCACTCAGGTGGTCCACATGCCAAAATGAATTACAAGGATATTAAGTTCAAAAATGTTATATTATAAATGCAGTCTAGTGCATTAACTCTGTTTTATTCTACTATCTCTTTGGGTTAAACTCTTAAGACTGGCATATTCTTTAGAACACTATGGTATCTTTTACTATGGTATACATTAAAGCAAAAATCAAAAGATCTCAAATTGACAAGAGGTTGCCACATAGGATTCCTCCTTCACAAATAAATTTGACATGTGAACGTTGATATCCTAACAGTACATTGAAAATATAGGAGTTACAATTATCTCATACATAATTTATAATTTATAAAAAACACCTTAAAATTACAAACAAACACTTAAAATTTAAATTTTATAAAAAACACATTGAGAATTTTAAACTCATTAGTAAATTGAAAACATAGGAATTATAAATAGTCTACAAACAATTTATAATCTGTAGAAAAAAGCATATAAGTTTAAAAATTTACAAAAAACCCCTAATATTCATAATTTATAAAAAGCACCATAAAAATTTCTAACCTATAAACATTAAAATGAATATATAAAATTACTAACAACCCCTAGAAAATTAAAAATTTGCAAAAAATATAATATTCCCTTTAAAAGTATAGGTTTAGGAAAATCTTTTCATGATCAATATTACCCATACCTTTTTTTGAAAAGAACATAATTAATTAAAAATCTATTAAATTTAAAATTTACAAAAAGAACCATTAAAGTTTAGTATATTGTAAATTACCCCTCCAAAGTTAAATTTTTTTTAATGATTTTTTGTAGTTCCTTGATTTCAATGTAATATTTAATAGTTTTGTGTATTTTTTTATTATAAAATTTTAGGGTATTTTTATAATTTTTAAAAATTTTGAGGGTGTTTCTCTTGTAGTTTTCTAAATTTTATTGTGTTTTTAGTGTAATGCATAGATATAGTCAATTAATGATGATATTGAAGAGTAAGTCGTTCTTAAGATGTATTAGGCCAAGTTAAGTGTGAACATCACTATTCCTAGGCAATATAGTTTATATATGCAAAAAATTACAGACAATGTATATAGTGATTAAAAGGATTTTGACTTTAATGTGATATTTTTTTATAGATTATATTTAATGTGAACCCACCATATAATTTTAACTATGACCATCATAATTTTAATACGTTTGATTGATTGACTATATATATAGACATATATAACTTTACTTTGTTGCATAAACTAATATTTGGTGCTTAATCATTTAAATTATTACTTTTAAATTTATAAAGAGAGGCTCTAATAACATTTATTTATTTATCTACAAGATAATACAATCTTAATTCTTATTTTTTGCTTGAGATTTATTCCATAGTTACCTGTATCAAATTAGTAACTAAAATAATAATTATTTGTGCTTAAATTAGGATGATTGTCGTTAGTCACTCGCTATGAATTTTTTATGAAGATATATACCTTACTTTCTATTGCTATCTACACTGCACATGTATATTTTATAAATTAGTTGTTAATTTAACATATTAAATTACTTTTCCTTTGTAGAAATTTTTTCTTTTATTTTTGGATTGTGTAATCACTATATCACCATTCTAGTATAGAAATGGCCTCACTTTAAATGGCTTCAATCCAATGTTTGAGTTGAATCGAAGTATATATTATTGCTACTATGTGTATATATTTTTTAAGAAATTCATGTCAACACTCTTTAATCAGAAGAGAATATTCTAACATCTGATATTATAAAAACTAAATATAGCAAAATGAGTGATTAGCAAAAAAGGACTTACATCAGTAAAGCGTGAATAATAAGATAAAGAGGAAATGTAATGGCATCGCCAATAGTATTACCAATAGCAAAATATAATGTAAAGTTAACATATTTTGTGGAGCCTAACTGCTGGCTATAAGTATCGAGGTTTCCGTATACATACTTTATAATTTATTAAAAATGGTCATATATAATAAAATTGATTTAATACTGAATAGTACTATCACGGTAAATGAGTAATTACAAAGATGTTAGGGACTACTATGTATGTATTTAAGATTTCATGACGAATATCTTAATAACCTAATTATATAAGCACACCCACTTTGTCACCTATTCTGTTCACTTTTCTCCTCACTCATTCTCCACCAATTTCACTGTCACGTTCGGAGAGAAATAGAATTTATGTCAGTGAGGTCTTCTCTCCCTCTATCCCTCGATCTCATTTTTTTAAATTAGTTTCTTAATTTCTTTTTAATAGTTTCTTGGATCCATTTTATGCTTCATTATGTAAAGTGCATTGTCAAATTCAATTTAAATATACTTTTATTTTAATTATTATTTTCCCTATTTATGGGTTAATTAATCACCATAATGTTTAGGTCTTTTCACTCATTTTATATTTTGAAAACAATTTATTTTAGGAGAATTTTTAAAAATATCACTTTTAAAAAATATTAGCAAAATCGATTGTTTTATATAATAATTAACAAAATTATTTTTTTGCCACATCATCAAGACCGGCAAAAAAGAGGTCAAATTTGTAAAAAAAATCATCTTTAAAATACATGGGACCAATAGTCTAGTATAATTAGCGAACATTTATTACAAAAGTAATTAAAGTCAGAAAATATACAAGATTACCACTCTTGCGTATTTTGCAGTCAGAACTAAAAAATACACGAGACTATTGTATATGTTCTATATACAATACAATTGCCTCAGGCAAGTGAGTTATAATAGCATTTTTTATTCGCATCGTTGGGGGCAAGATTTGACAAGGACCTTGCATTAAAGAAAAAAAACTATATTTAGAGCACATGAAAAAATATATCATAATCTCCCTGCTCTAATTTCACAAGAAAATAGTCCTTCATACTTTCAGTTTTACTTATATAGTACGGAGAATGAGCTATAAAATTGAATGAAGATATTAGATAATACAAATATGAGTGAAACCACAACTAAAAGTCAGCGTGAATATAAGTCAAACCACAACTAAAAGTTTAATGGACATATTACAAGTAAATTCATATGCAGAATTCCTTTTACGAATTAAATGATCACTCATCTTTTAAAGACTTCAGGATACTAATAAATAAAATGTTGTACTAGATCAATGTGTTTATAACTCACAAATAGTAGACCACATGACGACAATCTAGGTTGAATGAAAAAATGACAATGTTTTATTTGAAAGATAGATTATTGAGTTGATCAATCCCGCAAAAAAACTTTATTTTCTTTTTATTCTATTTTTATCAATTTAAATAATCAAGATATTCAACCATGTGCATCTCAACTAGTCTATCATAATATTACAAGAGAGAAGGACTTTATGTGAAACTGAAAAATATTACAAGAGTTCGCATTGCCCATCTTCAATTCTGCCGCTTTAAAGGGCCCCCCATCACCACCAAAAAAAAAAAAAAAACTCCGATAACAGCTTGCCATGGCATTAGAAGTAATACCCCCAAAAAAAAAAAAAAAAACTCCGATAACAGCTTGCCATGGCATTAGAAGTAATAGTAAGTCTTCTTCCTCTACAAATTAAACGCCAATGAAGTTTACATTCCATGTCACTGTAGTCAAAACACATGCAAATCCGTAGTACTCAATAAATAGGCTGAAGGGCGTATTCTATTTTCATACACATCAGTCTCCTCGAAGAGACTTGTTAACTCTCGACTCCTTGAAGAGAGAAAATTCGTTCTTTTGACAAATAGACCTTGGAGGATAAAAGAGTCAAAAGGTCCCTCACAAATATAAAACTAGAGCGATAGTAAATTGAATATACTAATATTACAGAGGATCTACATGCAGTTAACCCTAAAAATAAACAAGTAAAGCTAAATAAAATTGAAAAAAAGAAAAAAAAAACTATCGTATCGATCTTTGCGACTCTAGTTTCATTATGCCGCGTTGATGAACTCATGCGTCGATACTCTCGTGAAATGTACAAAAATATTTTCAGTGCAATTACTTACCCAAATTTCATTGCTAGAGACAGCAATGATGCCTTCTGCCGATACGTTCGTGCAATCTGAGTTGCAAATACACGCAATCTGTAAAACGTCTGCCAATTCTTTGATTTGGCCAGGAAA